TCAAATCTTTGCTGGTTTTTACCTCTTCTTCTTTCAAGTTGCAAGAGTTGCAACAACAGCTTGGTCCTTCTTCTAATTTATTCCTTATTCCACTTCACTCTTTTGTTTCTGATGAAACAACCCCTCACAATCTGATATCAGTGAAAGCCAGCACAGTGTCAAAAGCAAGTCCCACGTCTGGCTGCCAAGCAAAAGACAAAATGTACCAGTAGGATGCTGTGCAGCAGCAGTACTTCCAGGAGGCAGCCTTCTTCCAGACTTGTCCCTGGTGTGTCACTGCTAGAGAGAACACAACCAACATGTTTTAATGAGGAATACTGGCAGCTGACTGGAAAAGAAAAAAATGTGTTTATTCTTTCTGTAGCACCATTTGGACTAGTGCCATTTATACATGTTCAGGGGAGATTCCCACCTATGCTTCCAGCCTTGGCCATTTCAGCCCCTGCCTCTGGTGGTCCCTATGGAACTCTAGAGAAAAATGGTTGGGTATTGCTTTTCTCTTATCTTTTTTTTTTTTCCTTTGGTTTGGTTTTTTTGTTGTTGTTGTTGTTTTTTGGGGTTTTTTGTTTGTTTTGTTTTATTTTTGTTTGTTTTGTTTTTGTTTTCTCCATGTGGATAAATTCAATCCTTCAGTTTCCAGTGAACCTCATGGATAGTTGGAGTGGTGTAAAAGGAGACAGTGGAAGGGAACAGAATGCAGGAGCAAAGAAGAGTGACAGGGAGCATGAAATTCTTCTGCTGGCTTCACTGCTTAAATAAACATGTGGAATTATACCCAGAACTAGCTTTCTATTACCTGCTGAGCAGCTGGTGAGCTGCAGAGCACAGCAGTGGTTACCTGCATATTTTCAAAAATGTACTCTGCAGCCTGTGTTGGTACCATGATGACACCGCCTGTGGTACCTGGAATAGCTCATTTAAATACAGCCTACACATGGTCTCTGTGAGCTTTGCTCTGTGCAGACATACAGCAAGATATAATTATGGATTTTCCAAGTCCAAAGCTAGGCATTATGTTAGGGTTGCCTTTCTTTCACTACCACAGTCCCTTCTGCAGTTAAATCTTGGGCCTGTTGACTTCAATCTGTTTTCAAAACATACCTGCAGGGCAGGCAAGCAGCCCTGTCTGTGTCCTGTCAGTGAGATGTAAGAACACATTCAAAAGCAGCAAGGATCACTTGGGGCTTTACTACTCCAGCTGTGTGAGGGCAGCAATCAGTGCCACAGGACAGCTGGCAGGCTCTGTGGCTCCTCACCCCGCAGCACAAGGCTGGGTATCTGCACCTCACTGCTTGAGGGTGGCCCAAGCTATTCTGACTTGCACACAAAGTGGACAAGGAGCAAGAGCATTTTGTGCCCTGCAGCCTGGGCTAGGAGGTGACCACTGTGGGGGAAGCATTGTCCTGAAATGCCAGATATATCGGGGTTCACTCTAGGAGTTTGTAGTGGAGCAGAAGATTTATGTCAATTGACATTATTCTCAATCGCTAAGCATTCTTTCTCCCCCATGAAAATTAGATTTCACTCTGAAATCCTTGTCAATGTTGTAATTATGAAAGTACAGATATTTTAAATGCAGTTCAGTAAATGTGCAAGTCGTGGTGGTTTTATGCTTTAAAAGCTCTCCTTGTATTTATATAATTGGGTTATAATCATAGAGGAGGAACTGAAAGCCTCACCCTGCAGTAGTAAAAATGTCAGAGGTGCCCTCACCTCCACCTCTGCCAGAAGCTGCTATGGGTGAATTGTGCAGACCATGGAGTAGCCCTAAACAAAGAAATCTGCCTTTAAAATGTATTCAGTTCGGGAGTTTTTAACCAGGTCACACTGCAAATCCAGTTTGGAGTTTGCTGCATACATTATATGGACAGCCCTTGCTTTGGGGAAACTGCATGTACGAAGATGTGCAGCTGGAAAATTTGCAACCCCTTAAATTAAGTTTGTGTGGATCCACATAGCTGTAGTGATATAAGGCTTAGTCTTTATTGAGTCCATGGAATTTGGGGGAAGAAGAAATGCAACTTTTACTTTATTGTGATATAGAAGTCAATGTTTAAACTAGAAGATTCACTTCTGGGATATGCTGAAGTAATCTTTTTTTCAGAAGATGCTGTGCACTTTTCCTGGGAGGAATAAGTGAACCAGCAGGGGTGGAAGCAGCAGAATCCTGGGCAGGGTGTGAGCACATGGGGTGGCCATGGGGAGGGTCAGCAGGGCCAGAGCTTCTCCAGCTGACTGAGATTTTCTTCATTATCTAAGCAAGGGCTAGAAGCACCAAGGAAAGATTATGCAGTGGGGCTGTTTCCTCTCAGGAGAGCTTGGGCTACCTCTGCTGTATTATTGCTTCCTTCCCACCTCTTGTACCCCTGTGCCATCGAAGGATTAACCTCATGAAAATTCATGTGGCCTGAAAAAACTTCAGACTTCCAAAGCATGGGCTAAGGAGTAGCTACATTCCATCATTATGTACATAGTTATGTTCAGGTTAGAGTTTGCCTGCTGTGAATGTACCTTTTTTCAGGCTTTTTTACTTTGTTGTAATTTAACAACAATCCATTCCATGTATTTAATGAAAGTATGTGCTGAGACTTACAGATATTTCTGCCAGTATAGTCTTTACATCACAACTTGACGTTATGTGAAGGAATGTGCAAGTTCTCTGGAGTGGTCCTTCATTTTATCCTAATTCAGAAGTGGAAAAACAGGCAGGGACAACAAAGAGCAAATTTAATTTTCCTTCTTAAACCCTGCCAGTTCGAATAATCTCTTGCTGAGTTTCCTGATGTGGCTGTTCACATTCCTTCATGAATTCGGACTGGCTGTTAGCAGCCTCCAAATAAAACATGGTTATATGGAGATTTACCTTGGCCCTGTTCTTGCTTGGTGACATGAGACACAGAGAGCAGCCAACTGCTTCAGCTCATGCTACATGTCCTCTTCCAGCAACTGCTTCCTGTACAAGCCCACTGGTCTCCAAATTAATGGGATTGTTGCTTTAGCCCAAGATGTAGGAGATTTAATTCTGGTGTTTGTGTCAGCGATCAATGAAGTCAGGAAACTGCCTTTACAGAGCATTCAAAAGCCCTTTTATTCCAAAAGAATCAAATCCAGGCTTCTGTTAAATGCAGTAAAGGCTGCCATCATTAAAACATTGAGGCTGCAAGTTTGGCCACAAAAATGTTACCGTAATGCAGTTGGTATTCAGTCCTTTCTGTCAGCATTGCCAAGTCTGGCTTTTATTTATTTATTCATTTTCACAAGTCTCATGTTTTTCAGACATTCTATAAAGCCTCGGTGTTTACAGGCATCTTACTCATCTGAGAAGCTCAGCTTCCAGTTTTTAAAGATCTGCTATTAGCCCTCACGGACAGGGAGGAAGCAGGAACGTGTGATGAGGCTGATCCTCACAGGCAAAACCAGAAGGCTCATAAAACCCCACATTAAAAAAGTCAAATATGATTTTTTAAGAGGATCTCATGAACTGGGTCTCCCATTTATGTGTCTCAAGTGCCTGGCATAGACTCTACTAATGATCGCCTGGGTCAGACCGTGATGTGAGTGCAGAAGTGCTGTTAGATGCAGAGAGCTCTGCAGCACTCAGATGGATTCGGGGAGGAATCCTCTTTCCATTTATTATATTCCTGTTTTAACTTCATGGCCTAAGCCTTGCCCTGTGCACCCTGTTTACTGTGTGTTTCATAAAGGCCATAGGACTCATCCTGTTGCTCTGAAACTGTTTAGCCCATCTTTGGCTGGATTTACTGTTCAGGAAGAACAAACGGTTGCTAAGGAAAGCGCTGTATTGAACACGAGAGCCAGGCTGGATTTTTTTTCAAACAGATAAAAGCCAGCAACTCTGAGCTTGGCGTGGACTTTGCCGTTTTGTTTGTTGCATCACCCCATTGTCTTCTCTATCCCTTCTTTTATTTAATTTCTTTGTTACAGCATTTCACAACCCACAGCCTGGATACTGTAAGTCCTGAAGGAATGCACAGCATAATGAATACTGCATGATCACAAAACAGCTCACCTCGTGCAAAGCCATAGCTGAAAACGATGCAACATGGCTGTTTCCCAATCGTTCCTGCTTCACTGATTTCTTTGATTTAGAGAAATTCTTTCAGCCTCTCCTCGAAGGGGCTACTGAGTGAGAGAGGAAGTGTAACCTTTCTCCACCCAGCAACAAAAATGCAATGGTTTTGGAGCACTTCCCATTTCCATGATGTCTCTGTACAGCGCAGCACAGAAGTTAAACTGGTCCGTACCTCCTTCCCCGGCTGCAGGCAGGGGAACCGGGCTACAGAGCTGCTGGATGCCCACACATCCAGCACATGGAGAAATGAGCCCTGCCTTGTAGAAGCAGCTTTGCCAGACTGCTGGGGCCAGAACCTGCTCTGGTTAACAGCAAAACTTTTTAATTTGGGGATTTTTAGCAGCACTTCCACATATCGAGATACTAATTAATGGCTTATTTTAAAAGGTCAGGTTGTTGAGTTTCTTATTTTGTAAAATTGGGTTTTTGAGAAGCACTTCCACAGAGCGAGATATTAATTAACGATTTATTTTTAAAAGTCAGGTTGGCATTTTTAAGTGCCTCATTTCCGCGGCCGTTCCCGGTAGGACCAGGGCACCAGGGAGAGCTCGGCTCACCGCCGGCTTCGCAGCTCAGCGGCCCCACGCGTGCCCCGCGAGCCCTGCCCAGAGAGCGCGGCCGCGCCGGGGAACGGCCGCGCCGGGGAACGGCCGCGCCGGGGAACGGCCGCGCCGGGGAACGGCCGCGCCGGGGAACGGCCGCGCCGGGGAACGGCCGCGCCGGGGCGGGGCGAGCGCCGGCCCTGCCCCGCGGCCCGGCCCTGCCCCGCGCTGCCCGCGGCCCGGCCCGGCCCCGCTGCGCCGCGCTGGCCGCCCGGGCGGGCCCTGCCCGCGGTGCCGCCCGGCCGCTCCCGCCCGTCGCAGCGGCTGACGCGGCGGCGCCGGCGCAGCTCCGGCCCGGGAGCGGCGGGGGCGGAGCGCGGCCCAGGCGGCGGCCGGGCTGAGCCGGGCGGCGCCGCGGGCAGAGGTGAGCGGGGGGCGGCGGGCGGCGGGCGCGGCCCGCCCGGAGCGCGGCCCCGCGGAGCGGCGGGGCCCGGGCGCTGTCAGCGCGGGCCGCGGGCGGGCGGGCGGAGGCCGCGGGGCGCTGCGTGCGGCTGCGCTGCCTCCCGGCGCTCCCGGCGCTCCGGCCTCCTGCCCTGCCCGCCCCGGGGTGCCGCGGGCTGCGAGCGGGCCTGCGGAGCCGGGGGAATGCAGGCTCGCTGTGCCCTGGGCAGCACGGGGAGGCTCTCCCTGGCTGGGTGCTGTGAGAGCTGCGGCGTTGATGGGTTGGGAAGTGTATGAGGGAATTTTCAGGTGTTGCAAGAGCTTTGTTTGTCCATCATTGGGCTCTCGACCCCACTCTGTCCCCAAGTTGTCTTCTTCCTGAGACCCGCAGTCTCTGCAGTGTAAGCACAGAGCTTATCTGCTCCTGTACTATTTGCTCTCCCTTCCCTCAGCCCTTCCAAGCTGTGCTGGCCAGGAGGGATGGGGAGCTCAGCAGCAGCAGCTGTGGGTGCTGAGCCACGGGACAGGCACAGCAGAGATGTGTTGCTCGGTTAAAGGCTGCATATAACTAGCGTGCTCATTTCCAGACTCCACTTGTTCTAGACCAGACTTCCAGCTCGGAAGAGATGGATTGCCTTTGGTAATACCCTCATCCTATCTTTTCACGTTGCTAACACAAGAAAAGAAGTAATTCTCAAAAGCTGCAGGAAAATGTGTTTAATACTTGTAGAAATACATTCTCTCTTAAGGAAGGCCTACAGAAAGCATCAGGAAGATCCTTGACCTCAGACACATTCAAGGACCTCAGATGAAATACTAGTTTCTGTTCCCTTCACAGAGCTTGGACAGCAAAGTTTGATGGACTTTGTTTCAGCTATTTCAGTGCTTCTGCCTTGCAGAGGTAGTCAGGAAGGAAGGGACAAAGTTTGAGTCACATTTCATTAAAATCAGTCTAAAGCGTGAAGATTAAAAAATATTTACATCTTTATGCTTTGCTTACAGAAAAGGATCTTTGGGGTCTTAATCTAGAAAATTTCCATCTCTGATTTGTGACAGTATGTCTCTTAAAAGTTCTGTTATCTAATATATATATATCTCCATTAATCCAAAATTAGCCTAATGGAGGATGTTTCTGTAAGTAAATTCTATCACCTTGCCAAAAATAAACGTAGTAGTTATGTAGCCAGCTAGGTGAGACTGTGAGTTCCCAGAAGTGCTGGTTGAGAGAAGAGTCCGTGGTAACTGTAGGAGTTGAAACTTTGCAGTGTGACCATGAGGTCACCAGCTGCATGTCCTGCTGTGTTCCTCTGAGTCAGTAACTTCGGACTTTGGCTATTTCTGTATGGTCTTGTGCTAATGAGTTATCTTGTGTCAAAGTGCCTTTCCCTAGGGCTTGCTTCACCTCTGGGACAAAATGTTTGCTTAACAGTTCACAGAACTGTGCTGGTTAGGAAAGGAAGAGAAGAGAGGATAGTTGCCAGTGCTGTGAGTCTGCTTTTGCATGTGCTAATTGAGTAATTTCAGACTTCCTGACCTTATCAGCTTAGCTCTGGCCACGTGGTGGTTTGAAGAGAGACACCCTTCTCCAGCTTCCTCTGTCTCTTCCAATTTTGGATCCTGCTTGGGAGGGAGGGCATCTTCTTGCACAGCATATCTCAGCTGCACACCATAGTTTCAGGCTGGCTTTCTCTTTCCTCCTTACCTCCTGTCCTTGGGAGCTGCCCAGGCCTCCACTGGGAAAGGCTGAACTCTGGCTGTTGTAAGAACTGCCTCCCACGGGAGCAGGTGATGCATGAATTACTCCTGTCTGCAAAACGCCATGCTCTCACAGCTGTTCACTTTATTTACATTAGTGATGCTCTTAGAAACAAGCTTATTTAACAGAAAAATTTCCATATCTCTTGACCCACTGGGCACCCTGATGCAGCCGTAGATGGCTTGTGGTGATTTAAGTAGGAAGGAGCAGCCCTTCTGCAGTGCTGTGGGTTTGTTCTGCAGTTGTGTGGATGAAAGGTTTGTATGGCCTGACAGTTCAGGTGTCAGCTAGAAACCTTTGGTAGCATTGTTAGCAGCATTTGCTAGGATTGCTTTCCCCATTCATGTGCTTTTCACTTAAAACCTGGGGTCTGTAAAACTGTCAAAAATAAATAGGACTGCCAAGGACTAATGAGTGGTTAAACTAAGAGGCTTATAATGGGTGAAAGATGAATGTGAAGTATCTTTTACAGTACTCCACTGAAGGTGATCTAAGTTTCAGCCATGTAAGTTGCAAGTGGAGCGATCTGCTGATTGATCTAAGGAAAATACAGTGTGTGTGTGTGTGCACTGAATTTGTTACTCATAAAGGATTGAGGGCCTCATGTTCCTCCATTCACATGCAAGTGTGCAGTGCTTGATGTCAGGTTGCTAGAGTCATGTTTGCTTGTATCTTACCAGAGCTCTTGGGATAAGCATTCTGAAAACTGAGTGGTTCCCAAACGTATTTTTTAAAAATTCAAGTATAAAGCAAATCTATAATCTAGAACCTGCCATTAATATAGAGGTGTAACAGTATGGGGTTGTCTTCGTCCAGTGCAAAAGAGATTGTGCCTTTTAATATTTAACCATTTGCAGATAGTATGTCAAACACAGCTAAAGGGGTGAGTTAGAGTAAATGTCTTTCACTTTTGGTGTTTGGGACGTGTACATCTTGGGCTTTTTGAGTTTGAGGTTTCTGGTGTAGTACTGCATCCTTGTGCAGTCACACAGCACAGAAACCTGGCTACCTCCACTGACTGGCCAAACAACTCTGTTAGGGGTGCAAGTTCCTCAGTTCAGAGGTTTTTCATCTCTGTTAATGAATGGGGGACATATTTCACTTTCTCTTCAAGTTTTTAAACTTTGGGCAGTGCTTGCTTTATGTTTGGTTTTACAATGCTCACTTCAGTTCCTTTTCTAGCAGCTCTTTTCTAAGCTGTCCTTTCGTCTTGCTGGTTTATGGTGCCAAGTAAACTCCTGTAGCACTGGTGGAAAGTAAGTTCAAGCAGCATCTTTAATTAAGTATTTGCATATGGATAATCTTTTGTCACTCTAAGTAACACTGCTGTTAGAAAAGTGAACTATTTTAGCTCCTAGGTCTGGGCTCTTTGGAGGCCTTACTTTAAGGGGATCCAGACTCAAAACTGATCATGTTTGAAAAGGGAGAGGGGAGGGCAAGAAAACTTTGTGTGGATTAAATGGTTTACTCAAACTTTATTTACACTTTGGGGAGAAACTTTTTTGTACAGAATAATTGTATAATGTGGAAAAATTTGTGTGGGCATCACAGACAAACATGAAATATTTTCTAATCCTGTAAGCTAAAATTAAAGCTTTTTCTATGGTCTAAGTTAAAAATTAAACAGAAGAACAGGTAGGTAAACTAGCTTTACTAACATCTTCCTTTGTTGCAGTTTTAAGAAGCTGGATTTTATGACATTAATGAGCAAATTATCTATTTCCATTGGTGTTACTATTATGTTGAAACTGGCATCAATATCTCCATTCAGGTTTTCTTTGGGTCTTTTTTGTTACCAGGACTTACCTTTGCTAGAATCTGATGCAGTGTTTTTCCCTGCTATGATCCTGAGTTCAGTCTCCTCTGGGCAGGGCAGTGGCAGCTGTAGGAATTTCAGATCCTGCATAATCTATGGCCATTCAGAGAGCCTTTTGCTATGTCTGAGACAGTGTGGAGGCTGTTGGGCATGGCTGTGAGAGAGCAAGGAGAAAGGTGATGACTCCAAATTGTTCAGGAGTGTTCTTAAAAGCTGGCAGGCATGTGGCACCTATTGCAAAGCCTGAGAAGATTAAACCCTTGCCTTCATCTGCTGTGCTCTCCTTGGAGTGCTCAACACTGCAGAAGCCCCTTGTGTATGGGGCTGTGTTGAGAATGTTGGGATTTGCCTGGGTTTGTTTGTTTTACCTGGATGAAATGTGTCTGGAATAAACTGTCCTAGCAAGCCTGTGGTTTGGCTGTTTACTGAGGCCACTCAAGGAATGTTTTGTAGATAGGAATGTTTTTGTAATAGACAGACACATAAGAGTTGGTAGTGGAAAAGCAGGCGTAAATTGTATCTAGGGTAGGGAAATATGGAAGTGCTAGACAAGCAAGTTCAAAAAAATTTGTGTCATGAGATGTTATGTCCTGATTTTTCTGATAACTGAGTTGTGTGGTGAATAATAGAGCGTTACAAAAGAGCTAGGCCCTGTTGCAGTGCTTTTATACTATTAAGCTGTGCTCTCTATCAGTGGAGGTAGCCAGAGTTCTTTCTACCTTGTCAGTCCAGTGAAGTCTGGACAGTTTTCTGTGTGATGGGAATATCTTACCCAAGTGATAAATTATATTCTTTGTCCTCTCTGCATTTCCACTCCACTCTCACTCCTCCACAAAAACAAACACACACACAAAAAAAAAAAAAAAACCAACTGCTGTTTGTATCTAAGATGAGTAGAGTGAAAAATGCAGAAGAACTTCTTAAGGCAGACTTTGAATACCTGGTTTTGCAGGTGTCATTCATACTTTCCTTAAATGTCCAATTGTTAATGTTTTATGTTTATTTATAGACTCCTTTATTTTGAGCTATACATGCCTATGTGTAATGATGAGGACAGACATAGCTAAGGCAAAACTTATTATAACAGTCAGTAAGTCAGAATAATTCTGATAGAGGGGCAGGACAAAGTCCTTTTCTGAACTTGAGAAAAATAAAAACTTGTAAAATACAGGATGGGATGTACCCTAGTGAGGCTAGGACAATTTGCATGAAGTGCACATGTTGTGTGTGCTGCTTTTGCCGTCCCCTTGAGTTTCTGGATTCGTCTAACTTCTAACTAATATTTTTAACTACGTAGTGAAGATAAACAGATATTACAAGATGAACAGATTTTACTATGCAGGCGTTACACTTGTTACACTTGTGTAGTCTCAGATATATTCTTATTGAACGTTTTGAGATGCAGGTTTTTTTAGTGGGGAAAGGAGTTTTTAAGATGATTAGCTGCTGTGCTGGTTGGTACTGCTTTGTTAATGTAAAGATAAACACTGATTATAGAAGTTGATAGTGGTGGTGTCATGCGGAGTGAGGTGTTGCTGTAAATAGAGAACAATTGCTTCAGGAGTAAACTGTGTCATTCTTTATCTAGTCAGAGAATCAAAATTTCTGTGGGTGTTTGTGTTTTGCTGTTCCTTTAAAGGAAAACTGTGTGAGGCTGTGAAATGTTTTCAGAGGCTGCTCACGTTTATTGCACAAGAGTAAGGGCTCCTTTGTACAGTGCTGATGGTGTGGGGTACCTGCACATACTTGTTGATAACTTGGACTTCAGAGTTTTGCTTTTCAAAAGCCTTGTGCAGCAAGCTGGTTAACTGTGCTTGCCCGAGGTGTAGGCAGTGAGAGAGGTTTAAGGCTAGAGAGTCATGAATTACATATGGGGAGCATGGGATGGGTGGGAATTACCTGTTTATTGCTCTACCTCTAGGGAAGGTAAATGAGGAAAGCCTGTTTACACACCGAACCCTTGCAGCCATTACTTATTTTTCCTTTTGGTGGAAGTGAAAATGTCTTAGGGAAGGTGGGGTTGTGATTGGAGGAGGGATGGAATTTTAGATAGGCATGTGGCCTGAGGGATGTGCCTTACTGTTTTGCTATTATGTTACAGTCCAGATAACTCTAAATTAATTTCCCTTACTCTTTCAGCTGTTTTTGAAGATCATAATGCAGCAGAAAAATGAAAAACCATAGAAGACATTTGCTTTGGCAAAGAAGTCAGCTGCTGGCCCAGTCTGGAAGATGGACCACTGGTTTTGGGAAGCTTGGGAAATAATGCTTCAAAAAGCAAGTTTTCCTAACTTAGAAGAAAAGACAGAGTGCCCAGCTATTTGTGAATTTAAATCGCAACAAACTGTACAGAATACTGTGGTGCAGAAGGAAGACACTTGATCTCCAAAGCAGGTGGGCTCCTGTTGTGCTTCTAAATGCAGAAACCTGTCCAAAACCTACTGTTGAATTATACAGCTTTCCTTACAAAACTGCTGAGAGCAAAAAGATCCTGTCCCTATCACGAAGCTGAAAGCTCGTCTGGAGAAGCAGTAAAGAAACTCAACAATGAATCCTTTCAGAGTGAAGATCCCTTGAATGAAGAATTTGAAACTGTTGCTGTTCTCAATAGCATCTCTGGCCATATCCAGTATGTCTCATGTGGCTCGCTGGAAGGTGCTGCCTTACCTGTAAAGAAAGGTGGTTTTGTATATAGTGTGGAGGAGAGCAATAATGATGAGGGCAACACAGTCCTGGTAGTTTTAAACAACTATAAAAGGAAATGCTGTTGCAAAGGGAGTGGAATGGAACTTGTGGCCCCTTGACAGCTCTAAAGAGGTCCAAATTTAACCATCATACTGTAAAAAAGAGATTTTTATTTATGATGCATAAGAAACTTTCTATGGTTAGGTTTCGGTATAGAATCATAAAATTCCCGAAACTTCGAGCAAGAGGCAAAACTTGCAAATTAAGAAAAATCAAGCGAAGGTGGGTGCAGAAAGTTACAAGGGACCATCAAGAATCGCTTCAGCGGGATTTCGAAGGTGGATTGTGTAATTTGTTTTCCTCCTGGAAATCTAAAAGTAAGCGTCTTTGGAAGCAATACAGCTTATCAGATATGAACAATAATACACCCAAATCTTTAGGAGCGGAGAATGAAATATGTGCACCTGAGATCTGCCACACACAGGATGTGTCTGCTGCGCCGTGTTCTGAAGATCCAGAATCCGGAGGGCAGGGTGGCAGTGTGGATGCTGTCCCACCAGAACTGCATGTTAGAGCTTCTCCAGAGGGAGAAACCTTGCACCAGGTGGAGACCAACGGGGCTCTTGCAGAGGATTATTGCTCTGACATTGTTGTCTCTGTGACAGGAAAAGAAGTTGCTGTTTCAGATCAAGATGGTGCAGAATCTAAGGAGGTTGTGGGTGTAGATGGAATGACTCTGTTGCAATCCTCCTTGCAGGATTCTGATGTCAGTGACAATTTTGCAAATGGACCTTTATCCATGGAGCTGACACAGAATGAGGACAGCTCTAGCCAGATGGAAGTAGAAAGCTCCTTAAACTTGGACATTTTTAGTTCAAAATTACTAGATCACCCTTATTGTAAAAGTCCTCTGGAGGAGCCTTCACCAGAAAGCACAGGACTGAAATCAGGAGCTCGGAAGGGAGGCAGAAGGAACAGTCAGAAAACTTCCCGGGTGGCTGATGAGCAGTTGGCAACGTGGCTTTGTGGTATACCTTTAAAATATCTTAGGGCACCCAGGAGTTCCTGAAAACTGCTGCATGTATTGTGGAGTTTATATATTGTGTTAAATCCTTTATAAAACTGGTTTCTTACTCTGAATTGTAAAGGTCACTTAGCATAACATTTGATTAAATGAGGCTGCAAAGAGGAGAGCTGCATGAAGGAGGGACAAATGAATGTTTATCTGACAAGCTATTTTAAGATTATTTTGTTTTAGAGAATACAATGTAGTTTAATTGGAATCTGCAGAAAATTGTTGATAGAAATTTTAAATGTCTTATCATGTGGAATCAAAAGGTTCAGGTTTTTAAGTGGTTGACAATTGTTAATTTGTTTTTTTAAAATCTAATGCTTCCTTCTACCCTTCTACTCTCTTCTCTTGCTCACTAAATCACTTAAACTTAGGTTTTAATAGCCAAAGACTGTTCATTGTCCCTTAGTTTTCTCTCCAGTTGTTCATAGAGTAAGTTTAATGAATCCTATGAGACAATATTTTTTAAAAAACTGGTCTTAGCAAAGGTTCAGCAAAAAGGCTTTAGTGGTTTTTTTGTGCTATGCTGAGCATGCAGTATTCGATAGTCTCTCTAAAGAGAAGCATGATAAAAATAGTAATTGGTGTCTTATTTATGTGTAGCAGCTTTTTACAGACAGAGTAAGGAGCAGTAAGCTAACACGTTGTGCCATCTTGTAGCATCAGTGTAACTTCAGAGATGTTCTGATAATTTCCTTTGGAGAAATTAGCTTTTTAGAGTCCCATAAACTTAAAGCTGGTGTCGGTGGGTGTTAAAGGAATTGCTTGAAGTTTGATGTGCTCTGATTTTTCTGCCTGTTTATCCTTCAGTTTTGCAATTTATTTCTCTAAAGCAAAATGTGAAGAAGGAGACAGTGAACTCCAAGAGAGGAGTTAGCTCTCCACATCTGTATCTGTACAGATATGTTAGTGTGGGAGGTGTACCTCTGTCACTGGCGTTATGTGATCCCACAAGGACCAGATGCCCTGTGAGAAATTGAGAGAAACTGTGGTAACCCAGGGAAGAGATCACTTCTGCAATGGAATTTTAAAGTTTGTCCATCAGAAAAAGAGGAGTAGTCCTTCTATAAAAGGAAAGAGCCAAGGTTGTGTCAGGGTGGCAAAGGTTAAAGTTTTGTGGTCTGATAGTATGGTATTTCTGCGCTTTCTCAGCTGAAAAGCTGTAAAGAAGAATTTTAGTTGTGGTGTAACTCTGTACAGGAGTTCTCATGTGTTTAAGAGTGTTGTTAATAATTAACTGCACCCTAAAAGATAGTGCTAACCTGGCAGAAGTTCCTGGGGTAGAAACATGAAGGAGGTGCAAGTGTTAGGGCTGCTCTTGGGTTTTGAATTTCTCTGCAGCAGCTGAACTCGACGTTAATGGGCTGCAATGCTTAGCGCATTCAGAAGTGCTATTAGGTATCAAACAGCCCCATGGTAAATCCTGTTCATGATGGATATCTGATTTTGCCCCAAGGCTGAACTTTGTATTCTCTTCCTTGAGTTAAATCAGCCCAAGTGAGGTCAGTAGTGCTGGAGGTCTGGAGCTTTGCTGCTTTTAGGTGGAATGACAAGAACAATCCTTCCTCTGTGCATTAATAAAAAATCTTAAAAAATTTTACATATTTAAACAGAATAAGGTACACTCATAAGTCCCATGCATTGTCTAGCTAGACTTCTAGCCAGAGTGAGAAACATCTTCCTTGACACAGTGTACTAAGATGTAAGGGATAAAAGCTGTTAGGCAAAAGTGTGGTAGAGTTGCAAGAAGGTTCTTTTCCCATGAAGAATGAATGCTTCATTGTGGTTTGATCTTGTTCTTCAATCCTTCCTCCCTTCCTTCCTTCTGTCACGCTTCTTGTTATATCTTCACTGCTATTCTCAGCTCATTGTATTTTGGGTTTTTTCTTGGTCTCTTTCCTTCAGTTTTTATTCTTAGTGCTGATCTTCTGACACTTGTTCTGTCCAGTCTTTCTCTTGTCATATTTTCTCCTATCCTGATCTTGAAAGTTTCTAGGAAATGTTCTTAAAACCTTAGTAAGCACACAGTGCCTTATCCAGTGATGCCCTGCAATCTCACCCCAGCCTCAGAGGAGTCCTGGACTTTGGATTAGTGCAGTTTTCCTGGACTCTGATCAGATCCAGCTTTCTGTACACAGAACACATGTTTTCTGCTACATCTGAAAATTCATTTTCAGAGAGCTGGAGAACTTGATCTTTTTTCAAGTGTTGAAATCCTGTTCTCCATTCTCTTTCATTTGCAGAGTGGTTTTGGATGCTCGTGTGGAATTTATATCTCCAGTGTTCCAGTCTTGTGTTTGAGAAAGAAAAAAATCTATTTCCTAGGTTTTTCAATTCTTCAGCATTCATCTCTTCATTATTTCCAAGTTAATATCTTTTTCTGGTGTGGTTGCTCAGTGTTTTCCTGGGCAATGACAGGCTGACATGGTTGTCTGTGTCACCTTAAATGCCATCCCTAGGAGACAAGGGTAAAGGAGTTAAACTTGCTGGGAGTCTCTGGCGTCTTTTCCGTGCACTGTGGTGCGGCAGCGGAACTGAGCAGGCTGCAAACACTGCCAGCTCCAGCTGCCTGCATTTGAGGAGAGTCATTCTGCCTGCCATAAGGACAGGATACTGGCTTTTCAATGAAACCTGTTGCAGGAACTGATGGCTTTTCACGTTGCAGTAAAATGATTTAAAATGCTAATTGAAGCAGGGAAGGGGATGGATTCTTCTCTAGCACTGGTATAATTAGTTTGCTGTGGATATGTATGTGTATGGCAAAAACAGGGGCTGATCTTTTCCTGTGAAGCTGAGTGATCAGATTCATGCATTTTTATTTTTGTCCTTCTTCCCCTACCCCCGCTTTTATTTTATGTTGCCAATTTGAGCTTAGTTTTCTTAAATATGTACTTGCCATGTGTGGTGGTGCTGTGTGTTGGTTGGGTGCAGAATGACTGCTGCTTGTACCTGTAAGAACTGAGAGCTTTATTGGATTGGTGAACTCAGGAGCTTTTTATATGTTTGCACTTTAATTTTTCTGGTATATTTAAAGGATTCCTAGATGAAGTTATGAAGAAATATGGCAGTTTAGTACCACTGTGTGAAAAAGATGTCATGGGAAGATTAAAAGAAGTCTTTAATGAAGATTTCTCCCATAGGTGTGTAGCACCTCTTGGTAAAGAGCAAATCACTTGCATTGCTACTGCTGTCTAACAACTAGCAGAATAGAATCCATCTGACATGACCTTGCCTTGATTTTTCTCTGCCTTTTCAATCCTGTTTTAGAAAACCTTTTATCACCAGGGAAATCATGAAGTATCGGGAAAAACATCCAAAAACCTCCACTTGTAATTTCCGGGTCTTCTATAATAAGCACATGCTAGATATGGATGATTTGGCTACACTGGAAGGCCAGAACTGGCTGAATGACCAGGTCAGAGATGCTTGGTGTTTATGTGTTTCCCTAACCCTTTTTAGCCCATTTATATTAGAATTCCAGTTGTATACCTTCTGCTGGCATTACAGGTGGGCTGTCCTTACTTTACACTTCACAAGTAAGAGGAGTGGTGGGCAGCTTTTACAGTGTGACAGGTGCAGTAAGTCAGGAAGCTGGGAGGTGTGACAATTAGACTGGTTCCTTTTGAACAAATGATGTTGGACTATTTTGATAAAATAGTGGCTACTTATATAGGTTTTAATAACTTTCCCCATCCTGAAGCTTGAGCAGATTACAAGAATGACAGAGTGAAACAGCAAACTGTAGCCCACAGCCAAAAAAACAGGAAGGCTTCAGAGCCCAGGGCATGCACTAGTAGATCTAAATTGAATTAAACTACATTTAAGATTGAGGCAGACTTCAAGCAGCCAGTTACAGTCTCTCTCCAGGATGACCACTATTAGTTGCGGAGTGCTTGTCCTTTAGACAATGTGGCTCTTAAGGCTCTTCTCCATATTGCTGATTTAAGTGGCTAGGGGCCTATGTTTTATGGGCACTTGTGAATTTGGGTCTTAGAAAATTGTGATGTGTGTATTTAACTATTTACTAACTCTTTCAGATAATTAACATGTATGGTGAACTCGTAATGGATGCAGTCCCTGAAAAGGTGAGGGGGTTTTGTTATTACACCAGTGTACCTAATGAGAGATGGAGAGGGGAGGGTGAAACTTTGCACACTTTGGATATAGAATGAGGATTCAACTCAACGATGGCCTGAGTGGTTCCATTATAATTTGTTGTTATGTGCTGCTCAAATTTTCTACCTTTCCTTTTCCCTTTTCAATGCTGTTGCTCTTGTTTCAGGAACTGACTGTATTAGCTCTGCAGGTGGTCTCTGTGGTAGCCTAATGTCACTGATGTACCTGTAGAAGACACGTGCCCTGTTTTGGCCCATCCCACTCTCTTTACTTCCCTAGAGGTTTCTGTTTCCAGCTTATCTGCTTCTCAAGTGCTGTATTCATGCCTTTGCTCACCAGCCTGGTGTTTCAGCTGAAATTTTTGATGGAGATGGATTTCTGCTGAGATGACAAACCATGAGTGTTAGCATCTGAACCATGCACATGTGCTGCTTGCACTCACCCTCCCACCCACCTCGTAGCTGTGGGGGCTGTAACAGCTCAAGCTGTGTCAGCTGCCTGCCTGGTGAATGTGAATTTGTGTGGAGCTGCTTGGTTCCTTGGCAGTATTGACTCTGCAAGACTCTGTTTTGTGCATCCTCCTCAGAATGCTTACAGCTTTGCAACTGCAGTGCCTGACTGTTGGTGGCAATTGAGAGAAAGAAAGCAAAAAAAAAAAGTAATCAAGATAACAACCCCCCCCCATTTTGTGACTAAATTTGCAGCAGTGACAATTATAAAAACCCATCTGTTTAGGGACAGAATAGTTTTCAGGTGAGACCACAAAGGAAGAACCAAACAAAGCCATTCTTAGATGAGCTCTGCACAATGTAACTTAAAATCTTCAAGCTCTGAAGAAAGAGCGTTGTTGCTTTGATTGGATGTGATGGTGATTCTTCATTAGTATTCTCCATATTTCCTGAGTGTGCTAGGCTAGGGGTATTGGAGATTGTATCTGTTTGCTTGTGTCTGCTTTTTCTTCCTAGTGCATAATTGAAATCCTCATGGGAGATTTTGTGCTGGCACCTCAGAATGTGGTTTTGAAGTCTGTTGGCATAGCTAATGGCTATTAGACTGTGTTCTCAGATGCTGAATTTTTCTAACTTTTTTTTTTCAAGTAACAGCTCAAGCCTTCTACCACCTCTACACTAGCAGAATTATTAAAAACAGATGTTGCAGATTTCTATTTGTATTAATCTGTTAGTATAATTGCAAGAAGCTAAGCACAGGAAATAATAGTGTTAACTTGAAGCTAATTTTTTTTTTTATAAGCCTACATTTTTTTTTCATAAATGTTGGTTTTCACTTACCAAATGGATCAATCATACCTTAAAAATACTTCTCAATAGCAGAATATTGTTCATGTCATAAGAGTTGAATGCCAAAGACAATGTTGTTGGGCTAAATCTCATAACTGTTTTGATCAATTTTCTTCTTCTGAGTCTCAGCTTCCAGCAACTAAAGCCAGAAGTTACTCCCTTCTCCACCACCCCTGCTTTTCCAGTCCAGTGTTCTCTTCCTTGACCCCTGTAAAGAATAACAAAAACTAACTCCTTGTCCTGGTGTTTTTCTCCCAATTCTGTCCCCAGCAAAAAAATTAAACATGATATGCCTGGAGATGAAAAAATGTAGATATAAATGCTGCAGTGGCTCACATGATATATTATAGGGAAATAAGGCTTATTTTATTAGCTTGCTGAAGAACAGTAAGAGTTGAGGTTTGGCAAAGCCTCTGTTTGTCCCTACTGGGGTTCTGTTTCTAAACCTACATTAAATATTGCCTCATTACAAGTTGTTTTGTATAAATTATCCTGGGGGAAGGGGAATGACTGTGCATGAAAATTTCTGTGCTCATTGCTCCTCTCTCTCTCTCTTTTTTTTTAGGTTCATTTCTTTAACAGCTTTTTTCATAGACAGCTCGTAACCAAAGGGTATAATGGGGTAAAACGATGGACTAAAAAGGTACCTTTAAAATGTTGTCATCAGTGCTGGGGTTCTGCTGGTCTGGGCTTACTCACTAACTTGAAGCTGGGTTACAGTGTGCTATTTGCAAAGGAGCTGTACAAAGTGAGAAGGGCTTGATGAAAATAGTAGTGTGGCACTACTCAAGTTCGTATGTTGTACTTGGAATGGCTAAATCTTCAGTGGGAGGTTATCTCTTTGTGTATGTTCATGCAAGTTGTTAATTTAACTGCAAGAAATGTCTCTTACTGCTCCTGACAGTGCCAGGTACACTAATCTACAGGAGAGCAGACTTAATTCTGGTTCTTCTTTTATCTCAACCTGGCATTCTCTGACAAAATCAAATTGTTACTCCAAGTAACACATACCAGGTACTAGAAAGCAAAAAAGAGACCCATGGTTAATAAGCCAGACTGTTGTTCTCTTTTGAGAACAACAAGAACAGAATTCACCTTGCCTTCCAGAACCCACACCAAATCACGGGTGTGATATTTTCAGGGATAGCTAATGCAAAAAGAAATACTCCCTTTTTTCCTTTTTTTTCCTATGAACATTTGTCCTTTCTAATATGGGAGATGAGGCAAGACTAATAAAAGGCCGTGTTTGAATATATGATCTTTCTGCAGAAGTACTTAAATAGCACACATCTGTGAAATGCTAGAGATGAACTCATTATCCAAATATAAAATCTATTCATATAATTTATTAAAAATATCTTTAAAGAGAGATGGAATATCAGTGCTTAATATTCTCACATATTATTTTTTAAACATTCCTTTTCTCCAGCAATCCAAGTTTTGTAAAATCTCCCAAAATTAGGGTAGATTCTGGAAGCAGGATCTGTATTGTAGTTGCTGCTGAGAGGTACCTGATGAGACAGGACAATTTTTAGATATTTACACTTAAACTCCTAAAGAATCTCTCAAGCAAGAATGAGAACTAAGCAGTTTCTATGAGAAGGATTCTGTAGACTCTTTCATCCTGCAGTGTGCAATTAAGGGGAATTTGTTTCTGCTCTTTAAACACACCAGAGTATTGCACCATGTTTTGTAAATGTTTTCTCCTGGGATACAGGATATCCTGTGCTGGCTCTGCAGTGGTTTCAGAGCTCCTGTTAGTGTCTGTCCCTTCTGATCACCCATCACACTGGCACTTCTGGTTCACTGTTGTGACACAAAGCTGACTCTGCTCTCGTGGTGAAGTGAATCTGGGTTTCCACCACTCTTCCTGTACATCAGTTCATAACTAAAGACAAACTTTTGGCTGCCCGTTTCTACTCTTCTGCTGTAGGATTGCACACCTGCAGTAATCCCACAACTAGGGCCACATGAGGACCCTTGAGTTTTGTGTGGCTCTGCTGTTACTGGACATCACAGAAGATGTAGTTCATTTCTCTTATTCCAGTTTTCCTTTGTGGTCTCAGCTTGCTGCTGGCTGACATCCCTGTGCTTCTCTCCAGGAGTGATGGATCAGTGTGCTGTAATCCAGTCAGGAAGCAGTTTCTGCAGGTGGGAGCAGGGTCGATGCTTGTCACAATCAAAGGACTGTTGTGAGCCAGGCTCGGCTGATAACTGCTGTGAATGCCCACACCTTTTTGTCTCTTCAACTTCCCATTGTTACTCAAGAAATAGACTTTTCTTTCCTACAAAAGACCTGCCCTTGCCAGTAGTGTTGCAATTATGTACTGTTCAAATTGCACAGTGCTTAAAAAAACAGGAAAAAAGCTTAGAAATCTTCCCACAGGATGAGTTCATTTAGTTCAGGATTCTATTTTTGCTTATTTTCTGGACTGTGCCACCAAAACCCCAGTAATTAGACACTTCTTTCAAGAGGAGCTAGGAGAAGGAAGATCATGAAAGGCCCTGGCTTGGCTGGCTTCCAAAAGCATAAGGGCTCATCTGCCATACAGACACTGGGGGTGTTGCATCTGATCTACTTGTTCTGTACTTCAAGACCTTTTCCCTTGTTTGCTTGCCTGTGACCACAGTACATCTGCTACAAAGTTAGCTTTGAGAAAGGATGAATCTGCTCTACCTTCTTGCCCTCCTTTCCTCTGTTCACCAAAGCATCCTGCACTCCTCTGCTTTCCTCTGGGAAGTCCCAGAGCCTGTATTAGAGCAGAAGAGGTCAAACTGCAAATTTGCTGGTTTTGTGGGGTATTTGTAATTACAGCCTCTTCATAGAATAATGGAATAGTTTGGGTTGGAAGAGACCTTACAGATAATCCAGTTCTGCCCGTCTGCCATGGGCAGGGACACCTTTCACTATCCCAGGTTGCTCCAAGTCCCATTCAGCTTGGCCTTGAACACCCCTGGGGGTGAGGCAGCTGCAGCTTCTCTGCATAACCTGTGCCTGTGTCTCACCACCCTCACAGGGTGTACACCTTCTGAATTTCTTTCTTACATCTAAGAATTTATTTCTTTCATCTAATCTAAACCTGTCCTCTGTCAGTTTAAAGCCATTCCCTCTATGCCCTTGTCCAAAGTCCATCTCCAGCTTTGTTGTAGCCCATCAGGTACTAGAAGGTGCTATAAAGTCTCTACTGAGCCTTCCCTTCTCCAGACTGGACAGCCCCAAGCCCTCAGTCTGTCTTCATAGCAAAGGTACCCCAGGCCTCTGAACATCTTTTTGGCTTCCTCTGGACCTGATCCAACAGGTCCACCTCCTTCTTACATATGGAAGCTCAGAGCAGGACACAGCACTTCAAGTCTGGTCTATGAGAGCAGTAGAAGGGCACAATCTCCTCCCTGACCTGTTGGCCTTGTTGCTTGTGATGCAGCCCAGCATGCAGTTGGCTTTCTGGGCTGTGAATGCACATGGCTGCATTGTGTTGAGCTTCTCATCAACAGCCCCGAGGTCTGTTACCTACTCATTTCTATCAGCAGCTCTGATAGAAATGAGTGGTGCTCACACTGGACAAGCATCATTACTGAAGAGAAGAAGAGCTAACCTAAACTGAGGCTTGATTTTATTGCTATCATTACCTAAGAAATCACACTTCAACACAGATGTTGTGGTGCAACATGAGCAGGATTTTGTCACAAATACAGTAGTGATTAATTCTGATACTGTACAAGGTTCCTCAGCCACTTTCTGGACTGTAACTGTATTTTTGTGCCTGCTAATACATTGTGTATTAGATAAATATGAAGAATGTGGTGAAAGAGTGAAGGGGGAAAAAGATTTCAGTTATGGAGTGGCAGAGAGGAAACTTGGATACAATTAATCTCTTGCTTTGCTTTCTGCCTGTGGAACTTTCTGTGATATATGTTGTTCTTTTTGCCAGGTGGACTTGTTTAAGAAGACTCTCTTGTTAATTCCTATTCACCTGGAAGTCCACTGGTCCCTCATTACTGTGAACATCCCCAGTCGAATTATTTCATTTTATGATTCCCAAGGCATTCATTTTAAGTTTTGTGTAGAGGTAAGAGTGGCAGCTGTGTCTGCAAAGTCTGAACTGTTTTCTTAAACAAAACACTCCCCCTTCGTTTCTGTTCAGCCATAAACTTTAAATGTGGTATGTCTGTCATTGTCTTGCTGTGTATGAAATGAGAATCAGCCTGTCCTGCTGAGGAGTCTGAAGCACAGAGCTTGAGGGTCACACCAGAGCCAGGAGCTGAGGTCAAACTGCCTATTGCCCAATTAGCCTGACCATGTAATCAGCACAGCTTTGGTGACTCTGACTTGGCACTCCCACAAAAAGCAGGAGCTCAAAGCCTTGGGGAAGCAGAACCACCCCAGGGAGAGTGGGGCATTTCTTTCATCTGTTAAGGGACTTGTGTTTAGGATAAATGATAAATTGTGGTCCTTTAGGAGATAGGTTGCCTGGGTGAGAGCACAGGACTGAAGATGACAAAGTGTTGCCCAGTGGGGTTTATGTGTTACTGTGCTATTAACAGCGTGTGGCCTTTTTCCTTGTCCTGCATTGAAACGGGGTGTTGGCCTCTGGTTAGAGCTCAGCAACCAGCAACTTTTCAGGGCTGCAACCTGAACACTGGAGTTAAATTATCAGTCTTCCTGATAAAGAACAGCCAGGAATTTTTTGCTGGGCTTAGCAAATTGTAATGACCCTCTTACAAAAGCTAATTTTGTCAACTTAATTGCTTGCTTGATGCAGCAGCCCTCTACTTTTAACTGTGTGTAGTTGTTGACTTACTGAAGAGTAGTAATTATTGTACCCAGGAGAGTTCCCAGCTAGGACTTCTGAATGAAGACACTATGCCTACTGGCATTTGCTGAGGATGAAGCTAATGTTTGTCCTGGGAGCAAGAGATCTCATGCTCTCTAGCTTGTGAACGTGCAGCATGAACCAACCATCCCTCTCGGCAGCCCTACGGTCTCTTCTGCAGCCTTGCAACCTGATCTGTGCCATCCCATTCCAGGCAAGGCATTTGCACCTGAGTCTCTCACAGACATGAGGAAATTTTATTTCTGCCTGTTGTAGGGGTAGGAGGGGAGCAATACCCCAAAATTCACTGTGATCCACACACTAGAGTGAATATTTCTGTGCTGCAGTGTTTAAACTGTGCTATAAATGCCCAGTCTGTTTATAGAGAAGTAAGATTTGCTTAACCCAAGACCATAGTCTCATTTATCTTGCTTCCTTCTCTTCGCTTGTGTCAGCCTATTTTTTTTCCTGTATGTCACTAAAACTCTCCCTGGAGCTTTGTTGATTAGCTGCAGAACTCGAGCGTTTTGTATTGAGATTTCAGAAGGAAAATGCAGTCGTATTGAACGTAAGGGCCTTGGTGTCAGCCAGTAAGCCAGGAAAAAACACATGCCAGGCTGCTCTGTTTTTCTCTGCATGTCTGGGAGCACTCTGACCTTGTCCCTGGGTGCCACAGCTAGTCGGGTATGAAGTAGAGCAGTGTACCTTGTGGCTGAGGGGTGTTGGACCTCCCCTTGATAGACTAAAATGAACCTTGATGGTAGAAGGCACAGTACGCACCAGAGTTCATTTTTTTGCCTCTAGATTTTAGCTCAGCTCCTAATGCTCACCTGAAATTTGTCCTCATTGTCAGAAGGATACCAACCAAGCAGTCAGTGTTTCTCTCCTGTTCTTTAGTGGGTGAATAATGTTGCTTTTTCTTTTTCCTTTCTTCTTTAAAGAACATTCGAAAGTATTTGCTGACTGAAGCAAAAGAGAAGAATCGCCCCGAGTTCCTTCAGGGTTGGCAGACTGCTGTGACAAAGGTAAATGGCAGCACTTTGAGCCCTGGGGCCTTGTGGGAGATTTCATGAAGCCGCTTCTAAATTCATATATTTGTACCAGTAGTAAATGAGTTCATGCTGCCCACATAGAGGGTACTGGGAGAGATGCAGGTAGTTACACATGGGAATTCCAGCTCTGTTGGTCATTCAGCTCCCACCAGGGCTTTAGCACTTTTTGCAAATGGCTTGGTGATCTGAGCCTTTCTTTGGACAATTAAATGTGTGCACAGCTAAGCCTGCAGCTGGTGTCCATAATGACACAAGGTCAAGGGCTGACTGAGCTGGACACTCAGCTGCCCCCCTTCTCCTGAAAGGGCTGTTCTGAATGGATGGGCTTTGGTGCGGGAGGGAGCAGGCTGGTGTTGCTACTGCTGATATTTTATGTTTGCTATGGATAGAGGGCTTTGGTCTCCAGGGCTGTTTGTGGCACATTGCGTTTGATCGCAAGTAAACAAAGTCTGGCAACAATAAAAGGGAATAACTTGTGTGTAGTGTAAATGAGGGAATATGTAATTTGCGTAGCCATCCCATAATGGCTCCAAAGATATAAAACAGGTCATTGCACACTAGACATACTTCCAACAGCTCCCTCCTTGCACAGATTTATTTTTAGATGCTGATACAATGATAAAATGATTCTTCTCTGCACTCATGCACAACCTGTGCAGTCAGTTCATCCTCTGGCATTCTGTGAGGCAGAAGATCTGGGAGTTGAGAAAAAACAATTACTTTGCCTTTTCAAGTGCCAGAGACATAATAGCACTAGTGATTGGGACTTTTTAGCTCTGCATATCAAAATTGAGCATGTTTGAGGAAATAATGAAGGTTGAAAGTTATCATTTGAGACTGCCTTGCTCAGCCCTGTTGCCTAGTGATGAATCATTTGTCATGTTCTCTGAAACCTTTTGGTGTGGCTGGGGGAGGAAGGCCACTGCTGGTAGCATGGATGCTGAGAGTAATCTTCCTCTAGGCCTGTGTGACTTTGCTGATATAGTTTTGTCCTGTGTAAAGTAGATAATGCTGTACAAACATTTATTTAAACTAATTGAGAAGCTGTTCTGTGTAGGTCACTTAAAAGAAAATAAACTTGAAAGTAAGACTTATAATTTATTTTCTGTCCTACACTATATATTTTTCTAAATATTAGGTGTTATTCTAACAAGGTGTTGAGTGTCACCTTGCAAAGTTTGGGACGAGAGGAAGTAATTACAACTCCAGTTTCTGGAGCTGCCGAATAGCTCTCTCTGAGCATGAGACAGCTAATCCTTCTGCTGAATCTCCTTTTGGACTTTAAGCAGGAGTTAGAGAACGAAAGGATCTAAGTAAGTAAAAGGATAAGGATCTGATGTGTCTCTGGTTGTTTCCTTTCCTTTCAGTGCATTCCACAACAGAAAAATGACAGTGACTGTGGGGTTTTTGTGCTCCAGGTAAGAGTATTCTTATCTAAAAATCAATGGCCTGTATTGTTCATGTAGTAAATGTCCTTTTTTTCAACCAAGCCTTTTCCTTTTCCCCAGTACTGCAAGTGCCTCGCCTTAGACCAGCCTTTTCAGTTCTCCCAGGAAGATATGCCCCGAGTGAGAAAAAGGATTTACAAGGAGCTGTGTGAACGCCAGCTAATAGACTAATAAAATGCAGCCAACCTAATTTCTCTGGCATTTCTGACAAGTTGCAGCTGGTGTTTGTGTACTTGAATTTCTGAAAATTTCCATGAATTTTGAGCGATTCTCAGCTGAGTGGTGTGGCCACTGTTGTTACCTCAATCTTTTGCAAAGTTCTTTAACTGGCAGAACATAATAGAGCTGCCATAGACTATTCCTAATGTCAGTTTGGTTCTCTTATGTTCTTTCCTGTATTTAATATTTATTATTTCAGCATGCATATAGGCAAAGCATGCAACTAAAACCATGAAACGGTAGATTTGGGGCACCTTTGAGGTGTAGTTAGAAATGACAAATACAGGTGAATTTTTTTTGAAAAATAAAGATGCATGATATGTTTTCTGATGCAATAATGCTTTGAATGTATCAAAAAAAAAATCAATGCCATAAAAAGAACAGCTAGAATGTATTTGATAGTTCCATTGTCCCTGTTGTGGCTGTGTAATACTGGATACCACATTTTAGGGTGGCTAAAGTCATCTACAGCTTTAATTTGTGAAGACCCTTTTTCAAATAGTTCAGGTTGCTAATAAAGTTTGTTCTGTTAGCATTTACCTGGCTGTCATTATCAGCCTGTCCCTATAGATAAAAAGCAGTCTTTGCACAAATAAAGCTTCAGCACTTGCCTGTATAATAGAAAGTACAGAAGTGTTCAGTCAGTCAGATGGATGGTAAGTTCCTAGATGCTGCAGAAGTCTTCATGATGTGTGCATTAAGGAGAATTATGAAGCTGGCCCTGAAGAGTCACAGCTTAGATAGCAAGATAAACTCCTTGGCAGTAACTGTTTACATCTCAGATGGCTTTGAGTCATTTCTCAGATCCATGATATGCAGTGAAAATGTACAATTTCTCCCTTCAGCTCTGTCTTCAAAGCTTGTTGTCTTTAACCTCCTGCTGGCTTTTGCTTTTGTTCAAATGTAAATTAATTAATTTCTGCTGCATCTGCTGTTTTGATTGTGTCGAACATCCCTGGTTTTGTCTGTGTCCAGTAGCACCGATGGGTCTGGTTGGGAGTTGCAGCACTTGTGGCGGGTTCAGTGCGCACACAGCGAGGTGATGTCACCCTGCTCCAGAGGGGTGGGAGCCCATGAGCCCAGCCCTGACCTTCGCAGGGTTGTTGTGCTGGGCAAAGGGTGAGTGAGAGTGGTGGATCTGCTGGGCTTTCACCTTGGTCTGTAAACTGTGATGTGCTCCTTGCTGAAGAGAACTACTTCTATTTGAAGAGATTGTTGTCTGGCGCTGCTACACCGGCAAATGTCTTTGCTGCATTTTTCTGCCAGATACAGAAATGAGCCCAGAGGAAAAGTATTTTCATTGCTAAACATCATCTGCTGCACAGCTTCACTTTGTGTCCATCCATAGCCCTGGTTCTGATGGAGGAAAACTACTTTGACTTCCCTGTCTTGCAAATTAATTCAGACTTGAGCTAAGCCAGGTGCAAATCCCTCCTAGATGACTGGAGGGAGAAGGGAGGGAGTGCCAAGCACAGTCAGGCCAGGAAGTGGAAGCACGTGCACACTGCTGTGCTGGAGAAGGAGTTCCTGCAGTATCCTTGCGTGTTCCCACTTCCCCTTGTTGGCAGCTGGCAAGGACTGGCTTAATTTAGCAAGATAAGGAAAGCCTTAAGCACTGGTTAGATAATTTAAATGAGGAACTTAATGAATCGGAAAGAACCTAAAACCCAGATAGGCAACACAGGTCTGCCCACTGTATGGTGCAGAGCACCCCACAGCACGTGGTTTATTTGTGTTTCCCTGAGGTGTAACTAACAGGACAGCAGCATCTTCTTGAGGTGAGTGCTTGTGAGCAGTGCAGGGTGACTTCCATGAAAACTGAAACTAGGGATGTAGTTCCTCCTGTGGGGTAGCACATACAAGCCAGTGCTGCCACTCTCATCTTCTCTGTGCACTGGTGTCACATTGAATGGTTCCAGTGCTTATGTGGTGGGACAGCTGTTGAGGCCACAGCTAACCCAGAGGACAGTTCTTACCTCAGTATAACCTGCTACTAAACGTGTATCCCAGTATGAAGGAGTACACAGAATTGGGTGGCCAGGAAGAGATGTGGAGGTGGTGCCATTTTGGGTGCATGAAAGCAAGGCTTTATTTTCAAGTAAGACTCCTGGCAGAAAGGAAGTGGAACAAAAAGAACTGCATGAGCAATTTGCTTTTATTTTCAGAACCTGAGCAATTTGGTAAGGAAGCTTGAAAGGTGTCCTGTGAGACCACCAGCCTGGGAGGCTCAATGCCTCAAAGAAAGACCCTTATTTTTCTGTGCAAGTTGCCTTGTTGATGGATATTTTTCATTGCATGGGAATGCGCTGCAACACTGCACAGTGTTTCCTAAGGCTTGGTGCCTACTCCTGGTTGATAGGCATCCATCTTGCTCTGTATGAGAGATTGTGAGGAGCCTTTAATCACAATCCCCTTACCAGAGCATCAGCCAAAGCTCAGGATTCCTGTGAGCTGTGTGTTCAACGTGGGTGCTTTGAAGCAAGTGCATGTGTGTCCCAGATCGTTTGAGGGGAGGGGGCTCACATTTGAATCTGCTGCCTTGTGAACTGGGGAACAGGGTGGGGAAACATGCATGTTGGAAAGTACTTCTTAATGTGCTTTCTTGTCATCTAGAGGTTTCCTGACAAGTGTTCCAGTTGGTTATGGGGCAGCTCAGAGGAGCTGCACTTGAGTCTCCAGCTGTGAACACACCAGTGAGGGGCCTCTGAAAAAAAAAAAGGAGGGGAAATTGAAAACAGATCTAATGTAAGCAAAGTATGTTGGTGCAGTGTTGAAATTAATCACAGGCAGTCAGAATCTCAGGCTTTGTAATGGTGTATCCTGTGAAACTGGACTAATTAACTCCTCCTTGAGAATGTCTTTGATGCCTTAAAGGAGATGGACTTCATAATCTGTAGTCATTTTACTAGTTCTTAAAACATTCAGAACTATGTAGAGTGTTTTTATTATGAGAGGCACATTTATGTGGATGTAGTTATGGCTGTTAGCAATTCCATTAATGTGATCTTCAGATTTTCATAAATCACTCTGAACTGGTTTGGCAGATGCTTAAATTTCACGACTTGTTCCAAAGAGATTGTCTCGCTGTGCTGATTTATACAAATAGTCCCAGAACTGGTGAAGCCTCTGCCTCGTGCGTGACAAATTTAAGCTACCTGAGTTGTAATAAACCTTAAACAGAATTGAAAATGAATTAGCAGTTTCCATTTCCTTTGCTTTTATCTATAGTTTTAAATGACTGTGCCCCTGATACAAATCAATAAATGCAGAGTGTGGCCTTGATTCTGCAAGGTGAGTAGAGAGATGCCTATTGGTACTTGCTGCTATAGAGATGCTGCTGGTACTTGCAGAATGGAGGCTGGACCTTTGTGATGTCTAATACGCAGTTCTGTTCTTACCTGGCTCTCTTGAATGTGAAGGTGATATTTTGAATGTTTCACATGCACTGATCACTAAGCCAGACAGGCTTGCACAGAGCTGCTGGCTTGTGTTGAATCTCCAGCGTAATGCTTAACCTACCTTTACTTTCTCAGACTTTTGATTGGCGTTATCTACTGTAGCATTTACTCAATTCAACGTGAAAATTTAAGCCTTGGAAAGTGCTGCAGAGTTAACTCCACTGAGCAATGACTGTGCACTGTGGGTGTGCTCTTGCATTGAATGAAGCCCATGTTCCTGTGCAGTAATAAAATTGAGTTTTACCATAAACCCTATTTTCTTTCAGTGGTTTGGTTTCATTTTAATTTTAAAAGCAACCAAGGTGATGTTTGAGGGAATGTTTGTAGCAGCTTGTTTTGGGATGTGTTATTAGGAGAAGCCTCTCCAGCTGATTAGTTCAGTAACTCTGAGCTGAACACTAATGATGCTCTCTGTCTCACAGTGATGTAACTTACTGTGGTTTTAAGTTCTGACAACATACAAGATTGGAGATGTCACCCATTGCATAAATAAGGGTGGAAATCTTGCATTAGACACTTTCTTTTAAGGTGGCATTTAAAAAACACTAATCTGCCAGCAGAATACACAGGACTTAGATTGCTTTCTAGATCAAACTACACTAATGCCCTTCTTGTATTGCTTGTGGATTTAGCTGTGTAACTATAGAGTTAAATCTTGTCTTTGCTGCATGTTACAAAGCTATACAGCTTGTGAATTTGTGATAATAGAGAGAATGAAGGCTTAGCAAATGTCTCTTTAAGCTATTAATCATGAGACTGGCAACATCATTGTCTTTATTACATTCATAATTTAAAAATCCTATCATGGAGGAGGAAACATGGAGGCTTGTTAAATATATTCTTCAGTGGAAAGTACTAAGAAATCAGATCATTAAAGTACAGAATCATAAGAGACACTAGAGCCTTGCCAGGAACAATAATTACTATTTATATGTAATAGGCACTGGGAGGGAAAAAGATGAGTCTGGTTTGCTTATGCCTGAACTTAATGGGTTTTATGAGTAACCAGCTAGAAGGATTTGGGGATTGAATTTCATTTCAGAGTATGTAATATTACAAGCTATAGAGCTAAAAACTGTTGTAAACGGAGTGAAATATCTTGAGAAATCAACTGGTTTGTTTTCTCTCAACACAAGTAAGCAGAACATGTGTGAAGCAGCTCCAGCTCCTGCCTGAAATTCTGATGAGTTCTTCATTCTTGGATTTCATTTCAGCATTGCTGGTAACTCATGTCCCCTAACCTGGCACTTTGAGGTTCCAGACCTTACCTAAACACTAAGGCTACCTGGGGCTCTTTACAGGCAACTTTGGGAAGTAGCTGAGAGGAGGAAGGATCAAAAATCCATTGGGGAATCTGCACTGCCTTGTGATAAATGTTTTGTGGGAGGGAAGGCAGGGGAGAAACTGAGCTTTAAAAAAAGATGTATTTAACTGGATAATGTGGGTCAGGTCATGTTTATGGTACATATAGAGCTTGATGCAGACAAGGAGCCATCTTGTTTATGGAAACCTTTGAGATGAGTGGGAGAGAAATGCAGGGAAGAGATGCCTTCTGCAGGGATCATTGCTCTGCACAAAGGTACATTCTGTCTTGCTTCAAGCCTGTGCATTTTACATCAACTTAATGCAGGCAGCAACTGCAGCAAATGAAGAAATTCCCTCTGCAGTGTTCAGCTGAATATCACGTTTGTTGAGGGCAGTTGGAGCTTGATAATTTCTCCTCAGCATCTCTTGACAGCTCCAGCCCATTGAAGAGCTGGCAGGCATTGCTGCTCCATGGGGCTGCTCTGAGGGAAGATGTTCACAAATCCAATAGATTCCAGCTCACCCTTCAGGTCTGGCTTCCTTGGGGTTTCAGGTTTGGGGGGTTGCTGGTTTTTTGTTTTTAAAGAAGTCTGAAGTACAGAGAGCTTAGGGTAATTCTTCAATTAGTATGTTCCCTTTTCATTCAGGAAACTTGGCTTAGGCGATGTGCTCTCAGTTTTGCATACTGAAATGCTTCTGTTTCACTATTAATGGACAGAAAAGAGTCTTCAGAGCTGAATTTTTGGCAGTTTTGGGTTTTGTTCTCTGATAATGGATCTTTAGGTGAATGGTTTTTTTTACTTTAGAACATGGATATAGCTAAAATATTCTTAAGTAATTAAATGTAATGCCTTGAATTAAGGGTCACTTAAGATACTTGTAAGCAATTGGTTGTCCCCAGATGTCATGTCCTAGTCTTTAGAAGGGACTGGGATGTATTTTGAGGGGATCAGTGCTATTTATAAAAGAGGGAGCATAAAGGTCCAGCTTCCAAATTCACTCTCTGATCATTTAACCTGAATGAACATCAGAAACAGAACATTTAAGTTCTGATGCAGTTCTTAGAAGGGCTGTAGCTCATGGCCTTTCTGGGAGCTGTGGGGGTTCTCTGGGTGCTGCCTGAGTCAGATGGATCATCCCAGGGTACTCTTTGGCCACCAGATGTCACGCAAGGACCACCAGAACAGCGAGTGCTGCTGTGCTCCAGCTCCCAGCTCATGGGCTGACCAGGCCGTGGTGTCTCCTGGTTGCGTGTCGCTGCCACGTCGGTGGTTGTCTTCTCACACGTTCCTCAGCGACGTCTGTGCTGCAGTTGCAGAAAGAATGTGTGTGTTAAACCAACCCCCCCCCCACCACCTTCCACCCACCATCAAATCCACTGAAAATCCCTCTGTATCAAACATGTAAGTGTTTGGCTCCAGTGCAGTTACTCCAGAGTCCCATCAATTTTACAAATTGGCCGAAACATTTTTTGGTAGAGAAGCCTTGCATACCAGAGGTCTTTAGTCTGATCAAACTGCTGCCCTGCCATAGATCATGACTGTTATTTTTATAACTCTGTATTACCGTGGCAAATGCTGGGAGGGGGGAGAAACCACATCAGTAGCAACTTCTGTCTGATTTGTGGTCATATGCTTATAACTTGACATGGTATTGCAAATAACTAAACAAAACCAGGAATTCTTTTAGGGGGAGGAAAAAAACCCTACACAAAACTCCAAAAAACGGCTGCATCAAATATCTTGTGTGGAGTCTGAATTGCTCACAATTTGCATCTTTTAATGGAAAATGGTTCAGCACAGGAATGAGAACTGGTTGCCCTCTGTTAGTGAGTTGGGTCTGTGCTGTGGCTGTCAACCACTGCCAAATACTGACAGCCTCTGGGCCATGCATTTTCTTGAATTTTTATTTAATTGCTGGTGTCTGCTCAGGCTTTATCCTAAATTTAGTAACATTCAGTGCTCACTTTTCTCTGCAATACCTTTATAAATTCCTATATAATCTGATCTCTAATTTTAAAGCCATCTGTCATTTTTGAGCTGTATATTTTCCAGCTTTAAAAGGTCTTGTTGAAGGAAAATTTAAATTCATGGCCTACTGAAAATGTATTTTTCTTTAAATTATTCATTGGTAAAATGTCTTTGAACTTGTGTTTGTGTAGCTGGTGAGTCGGGGGCAGATGCTGGGATTCCTTGCTCAGATGCCCTATCCAGAGCACTGCTCACCTCACAGCAGCAGTGGGACTTGCTGCATCAACACCTCACCCAGGGACCAACCTTCAGAGAGGTGTCCCCTGTCTGTCACACGCCATCCTGTTCACTAGGTGGCATTGCTTCCCATTCAAAAAGCTTCTAAATACTTCATTAATTATGCTAATCCCCGTGGTGGATGGAAAATGAACTGCACTGCCATGTCTTCACCCTTGTGTCCATTTTATTCTACTTTGCTGATGGGATTTCTTGGGTTGAGCGACCTGGAACATCCTCATCCCAGTTGTTGAAGTTCTGGTCCAGGGAAGGCTTTGGCTTGGCAAACATGAGTGAGCCTGTTGGGAACACTCTGAAGGTGCTGCCCTGGCTGTTGGCAGCCAGCTCTGTGGTGCCAAGTCCACCAAAGTCATCGTTCTCCTCAAGTCTTTGACCTGGATTATAATCCTTAATAAAAAAATGTCAATGTACTTGCTGGAGCAGGGTTGGTGAAGCCTTGCCTGTCCTAGAGTGGGAGTAAAATGTGCTGATGTGGGAATCCTTTCTGATATCAGACCAACCATGGGGGCAGCAGGAGAGCAAGGTGCTCTGGAGGATAATGAGCTGCTACTCATCACTTGGGTGCTTTGAGGGAGATTTGTTCCTGTCTTTTCCATGCAGCCCTGTTATTTTATTTTACATTCTTATGCTCTTCCTTGTCTTCCTCCTTTCCTTACGCGAAGTCTTAATTAAGGGCTGAAACACAGTACATTTAAGAATCCTGGCTGCTGCCAGTGGGAATTAATTGCAGCCTTTTGTAGGCTTTAAAATGAGATGAATTTTGCTTTCACAAGCTCATTTTAGTAGCAAGGAGTACTTGGTTTGTCCGTGGGACACATCAGGAAGGCAAGGTGGCAAGGTGACTGTGAGGTGTCAGGTCCTGGATGTGTGAAATCACAGAAACCTGTGAGGCTGAGAATGACCAACTCCCTGAGGCAACTGATGCAGCTGAGATCAGGGTGCTGCCACTTCCCAGCCTTGAATTCCAGCAGTGCTTCCCAGCCTACAATATTTATGCCCCTTTCCCTTTGCAAACCCTGGTGGTGCCAGATCCAAGTGAAGACCTGCAGAGGCAGCTCCATCCTGAGCTGCTCAAGACAGGCGAGTCCCACGCTGGGCTCAAGAACATCCTTGCTTTGCTCTCATGAAAGGACAAGACAAAGTAGATTTTGAACAAGACTTTTAATGAACAAGCAAGATAAAAATAAATGTAAATTGAAGATCCTGTTTCTCATGTGTATTTTATTAAAGACTACAGAGTTGTTCATTCTTGCTGTGTAGTATAATTGCTAAAACATGATTTGTAACCAAATATAGCTGCTTGCATTAAAAATGGCACTACTTTTTACTAGGGAGGATGATATGGTAAAGGAATGCTCATTTAAACAATTACATAGTTCAATTTTTGCATTGAAAACCTCAGCTTTTTCACTTTTTTAAAAGTTAACATAACCTTGAGATGGTTTTTAGCTTGAATTTTGTTGGGCTGCACGTGGATGAAGAATGGTATGCAATTAAAATAAGCAATATACTTTAAAAACTGGTTATATACAGATATTAAACTTGTCAAACCATGTTTTGCATTTTGCAGTAACTGAGTACAAGATAATGAATGTGACAGATTCTGGTCACAACAGGACGATGCCTTTCATTGCCCAGGGCCTCTGCAGTCGTGGAAAGCATTTCCAGAAGCCATTTATGAGA